GTCGGCGGGGCGGAAGCAATGGAGAGCAGGGGAAGGGGTGGCTTTGGGTGACATCAACAAGGAGAAAGGGGGGTGGATGGGAAGGCTGGGTTGAGATTGCGTCAGTTAGAATGAAGAAAAATAGCAATTGGACACTTTTTTGTGGCTGGCGGCAAGGTGGAGTGACAAGGGGAAGGAAACCAATGCAGGAAAGAGATGGCGAGTGTTTCAGAAGGATAAACACCACCTCGAGAACAATATACAGTTGGGGTACTACTCGGAACCCTTGGATACAACACTAAACGGTAGAAGGGAGATGTCGATGGATGTTACGAAACAAACACAACCAACTCTAAAACACCACAAAATCAAATATATAATAGTAGGATAACTAGCATTGTGCCCACTTGCTTGGGCGGCACTCCCTAGGGTTAGGAGGGTCGGCTTGACCCTCCCAACTCCTGGACTGAACCGGCCGCCCAAGGTTCCCCCAGGCCCCCTGGATCACGGTAGATTGATATGTTGCGGGGTCGTGATTTCGCAGGATCGTTATTTCACGGGAAGCTCCCACGGCAAAAGACTATGGTCTAAGACAACCCGGAATGACAAAATCTTGATATCTTGGTCCACCTACCATCCACTGTAAAATGACGATTGTAAATTTTCTCAATCTAAAAACAGAATTACTGCTACATAAGGTAAGTTAATAATGCTTAATGACTCATTAATTGAAATATTTCTCTCGAATTTGGGAGAGATAATTAATTATAAAAGTTTTCATCTATCTGAATCTTAAACCTTCACAAAATAAAGGTGAAAATTTTCAGTGTTCTATTGAAAATTTAATCCGTCAATTTTATTTGAAATAAGAAACTCTTTCAAAAGACTTGGCATGAATTTTTCTATTAATTTTCCATAACAGTGTTTTTTTTTTCCTCCTATCATATGGAGGAGATCCTAGTGAGCATTATTACTTTTTTCTCGATTTCCCATAACATTGTATTTTCCCTGTCCTTTTATATGTGGGGGATCCTAATGAGCATTTGTAATAGAGAAATTTAAATTCATCTTGTTATTCTTTCTGAAGTGTTCTCTCCGCATTTTGGAGATGCAAGATATTTTATTGACACCATGCCACTGGAGTGCTGTGTGAGTTTTTTTGGTCTCTCCATTTTCTTCATCATCATTACCATTACCCAAGCATGACTCCGCTTGTTTAAAGTATGGAACTCCCAAGTTATATTACGTGGGGGGGTTTCTTCCTAGAAAAACTGGTCTGGGCTAGAGCTCCATGTTGACTTTTAGGGCTCCCAGACCATTAGATTCTCTTATTTTTTTTTATTGGAATGTGTTACTAATTCTTTATTTATGGTTTAGTTGGAGCCACACGAGCTGCAGTTGATGCCAACTTCGTACCAAATGACCTCCAGGTAATTCTGTTGAGAATTTCATAGGAACATTTTTATCCTGTAATCGTTACAAGTTTCTCAGATTTTCATTTTAAACAAGGGAGATTTACAAATATACCACTTAATTTCTATATAATTACATATCAAACACCTAATCTTCATTTTTTGCATATATGTCACTGTTACATAGAGGTATTTAGGAACATAAGAAAGAGGTAGGTATGCTATAAGAAGGGTGAGGGAAGTGAAAGGGATGTCAGCTGAAATTAAAGCGTGGATGACAGCGGGACAGCAAATCGGGAGGGGGGAAATAGCAGTTTCCTGTGGCCAAACAGCCCCTTTCTGCTGTTGAACTGCAGTAGTAGTGAGCTAAGATGGTTGCCCAACAGAGAACATCGGGCTGACGTTTTTTAGAACGGTATTGGGGATGAAATCTACTGTTGGACAGCAGATCGGAGAAGTTCTATGGCTGTTGTAATAACAGAAAAAAATAATAATAAATAAATAAATAAATAAATATAAAGAGTGTCGGTTAGAAGAGCCGCAACCCTGTAAAGGAATCATAATATAGATCTTTCATAGTTACTCTCATTCAACGAACGAGCAAGTGAGAGATAGCGGGAGAGATCGAAAGAGGAAACTGTCGTGCTCTAGCTGATCGAAATTAATAAGAAAGAAGGAGGTTGTGGCTGTTGTGTTGTGTCGAACTGTGCGAAGGAGAGGAAGGGAGATGAAGAAGAAGAAAAAGAAGCGTGTGCGTCTCTTACCTAGTTCGATGTCCCACCCTAGTTGAAGTGAAGCGGCATTGTGAGTGCTTGCGGTGCCGAGTGAGCCATGATCGAAGCTAGGAAGAGGAAGAAGAGGGAAGAGGCGATTTGCGACTATCAAGAGAGGAGAGCGCCGGGTCGGGATGCGACGTGGAGGAAGGAGACGAAGCCATGCATTGCTCTATTGAGTTGAGCGGAGATCGAAGAAGGAAGGAGGTGGGAGCTCAAACCCGTGCATTCAAGAGACCGAAGGCAGGAGAGGAAGTAGAGGAACGGACCTTCGTACGTGAGCCAGGGCAGCCGATCGAGAGAATTAAAAGGTGAGTTTAATAAAGTTATTTAATTAATTACATTAATTAAATATATGCGTATATATGAGAGTGATTATTTAATTGATGTTAACAACAAGTTTAATTGTATTAGAATTGAAACTAATAAGTTGCAAATTTAAGGAGAGTGTGAAAAGATTTTCTTATGCGAGAAAAGGAAGAGTTGCAAACAACTAAAAAACTTTAAGGTATGATAAGCTCTATTAAGCTAATTAATGAATTTGTGTGTGTTATTTATACAATTTGATAAAAAGTCAAATTAAAGCAAAGCCTTTTTATTGAAGAACTTCTAACCAGGAATTAAATGCTGATAAATTCTTGGAAATTGAGGAAGAGATGAAGCAAGACATTTGATAGAAATAAGGTAAATATTTATAAGTTTTATGTGTTAATTATGTAAATTTGGTTTAATTAAAGGTGGCATTAATTACATATCAACAATTTTCATAAATTAATTTTAGTAATTTTAATTTATTAAACAACTGAATTAAAGGACGATATAACGGTCAAAGTATCAAGGGAAGTACTGTGACATGGTAAGTATTTCAGAGATCACTTGAGGCTAAGGTGAGTGATTATTTTTGTTTATACATTAAATTAATGTTTTAGTAAATGAATAATTGCTTTATGAAATGTTTTAAAATAAGTTTTACAGTTATACCTTGCTTATTGAAAGTCTGAAATGGTATAAGGGGTGAGAGGAAAATTATAGACTGTTGAATGTACATTTTAAATGATTTTAAGTTCAATATAAATGTAAGGTAAAGGCTTAATTCATACAACGTTTTCTCCAGATGGTACTGGTAAGTGATGCGATGTACACGTGCACATTAAGTTTTCGGGTGCAATTTGAGGGTACTTTCAGGTACATTTTTTAGGGTGTCATTAGACACATTTTTTATGATATCTTTGATTATGACGGTAATTCTATTACGACTTTAAAAAATGTTAAAAACGGTAAATACCTGAAGTGAAATGGAAATGGATAAATTAAAAATTTTAATGAAATGAACTTTTGGTCATTCATGCATAGCATATCATAAGAATTTAATGCATATTAGATCATAATTACTAAGTCATACTCATTGTTGCAATTAATATCTTCTTTCAGGTGAAGAAAAACTTTAGGTTGATTTGTCTGATAAAATAGATTTGGTTTACAGGAGGACAACAACTTATATGTATTAGTTATGATATGTTAATAGTTTCTGTTTACATTCATTTATTGTTTAGTTATAGTTTGAGATGTGGTTTTCAGTTTATGGTAATGTTTAATTTTATTGCACTTTGTGGATTAGTGGCTCTTGCATATATTAGAAGTATCTGAATTATTTTGTGGAAAGTAAAATGAAATGTTAATACCGTCTGATCGCAGTTCCCGCTTTAGTTAATTCTAAGTATCGGGTCGTAATAGTTTGTCTGTTGTGAAACAATGAGTCGAGTGACGAATGGCGAGTTATGGACGACAAGGATGTTATGTCGCATGTTCCTGAATCCTGATCAAGATACAGGCATACCACTTGCAAAAAGAAGAGAATAAAACACTCCTTTGAGCAGAAAAGAGATACACTATCTAAAATACACCAACACAACAAAAATCTCTTAAACATCAAAAAGCTACACATAAATAGTGTTGAGAATTGGACCTTATTTAGGGTTTTATTGATAAAAAGTGAATATTAAAGAAGTCTAGGGATTTATTTGTAAAACATTGTAATACTCTATTTAAACCCATGTTATTAATGTACAAATCATGTTTTGTGCAATTCATTCTTCTTAGTATTAGAGCCTAGCCATTGCAGCTTTTTTGATCATTAGGACCATCGGGTTTCGTCTTCACAAAGCATCCCACAACGATTAGCACTAACTGGGAAGGCAACTATGAGATCACGGGATTACAGTCAAGAACGACAACCCTCACAGGATCACGAGATTACAATCGCGAACAACAACCCTCGCGATACATTCACGATAACTAGGAAGACACGGGATCCTGTCTCCTACTCTAAACCAGTGGTGAGCAACGAGATCGTCATGGGATTGCGGTGATGATCGCAGCATGCAGATCGTGCTTTCCAATGACCAAGACATAATCGCAGCGTACAGTGGTGAAGGTTCAAATTTTGTATGTGATCTAGATTTCGATTCTTGTGTTCGAGGATGTCAGGGAACGGGGATAATGCAGGAGGTAAATGATTGGAGGTTCTGGGAAAGTTAGATCCAGAAGTTTTGAAGGTCTTGGTCAGGCTCATACAGGATGCTAGGGTCTCGACGGGAGCCACTACCTCAACACATGCTTCTATGCTGGTGAAACTAGATCTTTCTTATGTGGATCTAAAGCTTGATGGATCAACCACGTATATGAGTTGGTCGTGTCGGGTGAAGGCTGCTATAGTAGGGAAGAGGCTAGAGGGATATCTGATCTGGGACGAACCAAAGAGTAACAATGCTGAGGAGAATAAGCGGAGAACCACACGCGTTTTAATCTACACCATGCTACTCAACTCTATGGTTTTGTCAATTGCATCCTAAGTAGATGGCATTCGAAAGGTGATAGACATTTGAGCAAAGTTGAAGCGGATTTACGTTTGAATGGAGAATCACTTGAGGGTATTTTAGATTTATGTGACATGTGTGTACATAGGTTATTTTGCTACCCAAAAGGGTATATTTGTTGTAGCTCAATAGAGATGAGACTGCTTGTGAGCATAGAGACTAGAGGTTGATATAGTAGGGAAGAGACTAAAGGGATATCTGATATGGGACGAACCGAAGAATGACAAAGCTCGATAGAAAGGATTTATGAGACATGAGTTGGTCGTGTCGGGTTGAGGCTGCTATAGTGGGGAAGAAACTAGAGAGATATCTAATCTGGGACGAACCAAAGAGTGACAGTGCTGAGGAGGATAAGTGGAGAACCATACACACCTTAATGTACACCTTGCTACTCAACTCTATGGTTCTACCAATTGCATCCTAAGTAGATGGCATTCGAAAGGTGATGGTCATCTAGGCAAAATTGAAGAGGATTTATGTTGGAATGAAGAATCACATGAGGGTATTCTAGATTTATGTGACATGTGTGTTCATATAGGTTATTCTGCTACCCAAAATGGTATGTCTATTGGAGCTCAATAGAGAGAGATTGCTTGTGAGCAATAGATGTGTCATTTAGAGAATTTGAATCGTACTACACCCAGGAGGTGACCTCACCCTTCGTTGACTCACCCGATACTGGAGATATAAGGTAAGACAGACTGAGTATCAATGGTGAGAGAGTGGTACACGCGGGAGCAATACCTTTGTTCTATGATGTGCGAGGAAGCAGTTGAAGAACTAGAAAATAAGCAGAGTGAACCCAGAGGTAGGGGATTCAGGTTGAAGGTGAGCTAAGGGTGTATACACGTAAAAGAAAGTAAAATGAGGGAATGCTTCCTACAGTGCCACTTGTGTCAGCTAGTCTCTTGTCTTGGTCTTTCCCGAGTCTTGAGATACCTACACCATCCACCTGTGACTCAAAACTCCTAGGTGACATGATTCTTCCTAATAACCCCCTAACTTAAAGGAGGGCCTCTCGCAGCAATGTGAGATGTCCTCCCGATCGTTTTGGGTGGGAACATGACATTGCTTATTTTGTTTAATATTCTAACATATAACATTTACATCGAGCATTCATTTTATATTTGGACATTATCTCGATACTCAATTGTTGGTAGGTTGCTAAGGAGGATCCTAAGTGGAAAGTGGCTATGCATGAGAAGCTTAGGGCTCTCGATAAAAATTCGAAAATGGAAGATAGTGGCACTACTAGCAGAGAAAAAGTTTGTTTGGTGCAAGTGAATCTACGCAGTGAAGCAAACTCCAGAAGGGAAGGTGTAGCAATATAAGACATGACTAGTGGCGAAAGAATACAGTCTAACATATGACATTGACTACAATGAAACTATCGCACCTGCAGCAAAGATGAGCATAGCGAGTTCACTGGTTTCTCTTGCACTGAATGATGGGTAGAGATTGCACCAAGTCGATGTGATGAATGCATTTCTTCATGGTGATTTACTGGAGGGGGTATATATAGAGAGACCTCCAGGATTCGGTACAATCCAGATAGTGGGCAAGGTGTGTAGGCTTAGGAAGTCATTGTATGGATTGAAGCAGTCTTCTCAAGCCTGGTTTGACAAATTTAGAAAGGCTATGGTGGATATGGGATATCAGCAGATTAATGCAGTTCATATGGTATTCTTTCGACAAAATGAAGGCCACACCACTGTACTTGTTATATATGTTGATGACATCTTTCTCACCGGTGATAATGAGGTAGGGATTGCCCAGCTAAAGGTATGATTGTGTAATGAATTTGAGGTGAAGGTTCTTGGATAGTTCAGACACTTTCTTGAGATTGAAGTGGTCTGTGGACCTGAGGGGATGGTCTTGTCTCAGAGAATTTATGTACTAGATCTCCTCACAAAAACAGACATGCTGGGATGCAAACCTGCAGTCTTTCCAATTGACTAGGAGGCCAAACTGAGTGTTGAGGCAATGGAACCAGTTGATTGTGAGAGTTACCATAGATTGGTGAGTCGTTTGATCAATTTGTGTCACATTTGACTTGACATCTCTTTTACATTGAACATGGTGAGCCGCTACATGCATGATCCAATGAATGACTATATAGATGTAGTGTATCAGATTTTGAGGTACCTGAAGAGTGTACTAGGGAAGGGGTTGGTCTTCAGGAGGAATGGACATATAGACATCGAGGACTCTTGTGAAGTTGGTTGGGGAAATTGTGCAGTTGACAGAAGATCCACCTTAGAATATATGTTTGTAAGGGGAAACTTGGTCTCTTGGAAGAACAAGAAATAGTCTATAGTTTACGTCAACATCAGAGCCAGAGTACAAGGTCATGGCCTTAGGAGTTGTTGAGATGATGTAGCTGAGAGCCTTGTTGATCGAGCTCAAGATGGACAAAGGAATTTAAATGAAATTGTGGTGTGACAATAAGTCAGCGGTCAGCATTTCCAACAACCCGATACAACACGATAGAACCAAACATGTGGAGATTTATAGATTATTCATCAAGGAAAATCTAAAAAACGGGCTACTGGAGTCATTTCATGTAGCCACTAGAGAGCAAGTGGTTGACTAACTCATTAAAGAACTTAGTTCATTAGATTTGTCTAGGTTATGTGACAAGATTGTATTAGCGGATGTCTTTTGCCCATCGTTGATTGGACCTTATTTAGGGTGCTATTTGTAAAAAGCAGATAATAATTGAAGAAGTCTAAGGGTTTATTTATAAAATGCTATAATGCCTTATTTAAGCCCATGTTATGAAGGTTCATATTAGGTTTTGCGCAATTTTTTCTTCTAATAGGTTCATAATAGCCATAATATTAATTAGAAATAATGAATAATGAAAAGCCAAAAAAAGACAGAAAAAAATGGGAAAAAAAATTCTTAATTGCGATCGCGGGTCCTTCTTGCAATTTGCTATATCACGAGATTCCAAAGGATTGTGGAACCAACGAGCTCTTATGTCATTCTCTTGGGCTTGGGAGACTTCTTCTTCTCTAAAAACTTTTGGAATCGATCTAACTTCATCATAGCAAAATCATTGCCCTGCTATATCTGAGGTAGTCCCACTGCAAAATTTATGCTTTTGTCTAATCCAAGACAAATCTAAAACACATATGTTCTACCAAAGCCTTTCTTGATAAAATATATAAACATCCTTCTTTGGCACAACCTAAGTTGGAATCGCACATAGACAGGTATTCTCACGAATAAAGTCTTAAGTCGTTAAATATATACTATACTTCTCATACTTCTCGTACTCGATTGGGCTCATCTAATAAACTATTTTGTCAGGAGGAACCAATTTTGGAATGAAATCTATGGCATGTTGGACCACCCATATTGGCAACCGTTCATGTACTTGTTCAAGTGTATCTGGTAAACAAGTATGTAAGAAGGATTCAACTCTGGGATGAAATTTATGGCATGATGAACAACTTTCACTAGCAACCACTCAGGAGAGGCATATTTTTCTTTTCTGATAGGACCTAGATCCTATTATAGAATTTTCTTCCTCACCAAGCTTCTAAGACAATTTTCAAAGTTGTGTTTCATCCTTCTTGCTTGAAAATTTTTCGGTGGGTGTACTGCTAAACTGAATTTAATGTCTGAATAGGAATCTCATCTCTAGCATGTTGGGCCTTCTTCAGTAAGGGCAACTCAAAAAGTAAATTATATATCTGAAAAGTTTGGAATACTCTTATTTAGGGTTGTCATGTGGCTGGTGTCGGTTCATGTGACTTAGAACTGTCTTGGACCACCAATGTTTTTCTGTCGGAGCCTCTCTCATGGCCTCAGTTTCAACTACGTGGTTTTCTCCCTCCATCAGTTTGAATAAAGTACTTTTCATTTTTGTCCTCAAATATTTTAGTGTCTACCATGTCATTACTCATTTCTTCAATAACTCTCTTGTCAGTGAAAAAGGTTATTCTTTTGATTTTACAATCAGTTTCAATATGCCCAAATCCATGACACTTGAAACACTTCCTAACTGGGACATATTTGGGAATGTTGACTAGTTTTGTCTGTTCTTCTCTTTGAACTAATGTCTCCTCAAGCGGGGTCGGCCTGGATGTTCTCCTGGGTGTATTTTGGCTATAAGAACTTGGGGTTGAATTTTGGAGGCGGCGGATTTGGGAAGGTAAGGAGTGGTGGCTAGGGAGGCTGGGAAATGACAGCAGCAGCGGTGGGTAATGCGTGGAATTGTGGAACAATAAATGGAGGATTGTCACGGGGCTGCGACATTGATGGGATGTCTGGACAGCGAAGACAGGCGGTTGGAATGAATGGCAATAAGGTGGGAAGTGACTAGAAGGGACTGCAGTAGGTGCAAGTGGAGTAGGTGGTGGTTGGTGGCTTGAGTTGGAGGAAAACACTCAAAATGTTGTATGGTGGTTCCGACGGCGAGGAAAGGCTGCAGCAGCAATAAGGTGAGGAATGTGGAGGATGGAAATGTAGATAAATACCTCCACGATAACGAGCTACAACCGGAGCACCACTCGATCTCTTGGAAAGAGATCACTGCCTCGAAAAAGCTACAGTCGGAGTACCGCTAGTCTTTGGATACAGCTCTAGAGTGGAGAAAGAGGATGTCAATGGTTTTCAAGCACACACCAAAAACTGCCCTAAAATAAGAAAAATAACATATTTATTTACTTAGGGTAAATAGGAGTGGACCCCACTCCAAATATGAGGGAAATCCACGTAAAGGAATGGTCGATCGGCCCTCCTGGACTGGTCCTAGTTGTGATTCTCTGCTACAGTTCGTATTACTGTAGTAGCGATTGCAGATGCGTCCTGGTACTGTAGCAAGGAACACGATAAGGTTCTGTGGGAAGCTCCCATGTCATTAATAGTTTGATATACCATCCTTTTTGGTAGCAAAAATTTGCGGGATTTGTGCTTTAGCTAAAAGCTTCTGTAAAATAAGTTTGTAATTTATTCATCTCTATTATTTATGATTTTGTTATCTTTGTCCATTTGACTATCCTGTTATGTAATTACCTCTTCATTTTTTCCCATCTACCTTTGCATACTCGAGTACTGTAAAAGATTTTGTAAATAAGTTTGTGATGTATTATTTTCGAGCGTTCATGATTTCTCGTCACTACGACAATGCAGAAATTTTATGATGTTATCACCAATTCAATTTTATTTTATTTTCCCTTTTACTGATGGAGATCATTTTCCAGATTGGTCAAACTGGAAAAGTCGTTGCTCCTGAACTCTACATGGCTTTTGGAGTTTCAGGAGCCATCCAACACTTGGCTGGAATGAGGGACTCCAAGGTCATTGTAGCTGTAAATAAAGATCCTGATGCACCTATATTTCAGGTATTGGAAGTTCTTGTGTTTCTAATTATCTTGAGGATAATATTGTTGATTGTTTTTTGAAGTTCCATATTGCCCATTATTTTTATACTCAGATTACACTTGATCTTCATACTTAACAGTGGAAAAATTATTTTGGCAAATGGTTCTCTTGCAACCTTTATAGGGTTAGGAGATATCTATGGCAGTAGAAAAATTATTGTGGCCAATGGTTCTCTTTCTACTGATACAGGTTAGGCGATATTTATGTGGTACTCTTTCTTACCCTTAATAATGTTTATTTACCAAAGTTGGCAATAGCCTTGTTTAAAATTACAATATGAGCGCACATTGAGGCTCACCTCAACATTTCTTACAAAATATCGCGATGAGACTTATGCCTCAATGTTCCAAGGTGGAGGCATATGGCTCATTCAGACTAAAGCATGTTTAGCCTCAAAAATTGCCTAAAATTAGTTAGGCTGACTACAATTTTTTTAAGCAAATTTGTAAATAATTTCAATATATCTCATCTATCAATCTTAACACCCTATACAATAAATAAAAGAAATAAACAAAAAATATATCTATAAAATTTTTGTATTTGAAGTCTAACCATCAATATAATTTTTATTTTAATTAATATTTTTATTGGCAATTTATTCATTAGAAAAAAAAGGAAGATAATTGAGTTTAAAGATAATGAAGGATGGGAGAATTTGGATATGGTTGAGGATAAGGAGCGAGATAAGTTATTTATTATACCTATGATTCTAATGAAAATCCATTGGGTGCGCCGAGAGTAAATTGACTTCTAAATTTTAAAATTAAATGTTGATGACTTAATATAGACCTACTTAAATAGGGGACAATATGAGTGGTAGAAGAAGACTTATGTTGAATTTATTTTGAGTGTTATATTTTGATATTTTAGTTTTTTTTTCTTGGCATATTAGCTAACTTTGATAATTTGGTGTTTGTATAACGCATCTTCTTTCATGATTTGATATTAAGAAGTAACATGTTACTTCTTATTTTGCGTAATTTATTACTTTTTTTATTGTTTTGAATGTTATATTATTTTTTAATGCGATAATATGGTAGAATATTAACATATTTTTTTCTTACTTCGCACTTTATAATTTATATAATATTTATTAATTTATCTAAGTTTTTAAATTTGAGGCTTAGCCAATAGACCTTGTTTCAATCCAAAACTCAAAACAGAAACCCAAAACTCAAAAACAGGCCAAAATTCAACTAGTAACTTTTTACATGCTACTTAAAGTGATGTACTCTACCATATTGAAGTATCGAGTACTTCAAATAGAGTCGAGAGTAGGTTGTATTTATCTCTTCTTAGCTCTTCAAATAAGGATGACATGTCGCTCCATTACTTTGGTCTTTGCGCTATTTCCTAGTTTTTATAAGGCTGTTTCCTTCACTTTCAAACGATTAAACGTCAGTACGTCACAGATTTCTAATATGATGTTTTTGAACTGGCAAAACACACTCACATCCTTTCCCATTAATAATTAGAGAAGCTATTATCCATTTGAATTAATTCGTAATGATATATTGGGACCATCCACCATTCCAAACATTTGAGAGTTTGGTGGCTTGTCTCGTGGATTGATGATTGCATTAGGGCCATATGAATTTTTATGATTAAACTAAAATATAATGCTAGTTGCATTATCCTTTACTTTCATTCGATGATTCAAAATTAATTTGGAGTTAAAATTTAAAATTTTAGGTCAGACAATGCAAAATATTACTTCATTCAATTATTGATTTTTCTGGAAGGAATGCATTATTTTTGAATCATTCTTCATAAACCCCCCTCAAAAGATAAAGTTGCAGAAAAAAAAAAACGGCCATTTACATAACACCCGTTGGACATTATTATTTTTTGGCAATGTTAAGTTATTGGGAGAGGCTTTCCTTGCTACCACATGGTAAATATGCTACCGTCAAGAACATTGAAAAAATTGGAATCACTGAACTTGCAAACATACATAACTATGAAGATCGTACTGTGGAGCCAATTAGGAAAAAGATCACTATATATAGTGAGAGATAAAGTAAAAACGAGAAGGATAGACATTCAAAGGGGTGAGAGAGAGAGAGAGAGGTAAAGAGCACTTGTGGCTCCCTGCGTGTTAATATAAAGAAAAGATACAGGAGATGGGAGGGGTGGAGGATCCCCAGTCTAAAAAACCAAAAAGTACATTGTAAAACTCACCTCTAGGGGTTCCTCCTCCCACAGTATAACCCACACAAAATAAAAACCCGAAAAATACGAGTATAACAAACAAAAAACAATCCCCAAAACAAGCATACCTGTGTAGAAACAAGCAAAACAAGCAAACAAAAGAAAAGACAAGAAGTGACATCAGACAAAAAAATCTAAAATGCACCAAGCCAACAGGAACCTGATCCATATAAAATAGTAGACAGCATAACAAAAGGTCCATCCTGATCCTTAAAATGCATGTAAGAGTACCCAACATACCAGGAAGGTCCAACCTGCTCGAAAGGAGAGAAACAACAAAGGAAACAGTGCAAATAAAAGAGCACAGAAACGAAGCAGAAAATCCTAACTAGAGAGCAGTTCAGCAAAGTCTCTCTAATTTCTAACATAAGGCAGATTTAAAGAGTCCCAATAAGTAAAAGCCGAAGGGGGGTAGGGGGGATAAAACAACAGAGCACACTCCACCTGCTTGCCTGGCTAACCAGTCGACATGGGAGTTACCTTCCCTGTGAATAAAACTCCATCTAACAGTCAGATGGTGATTAGCAATTCTGGCTTGTATTCGTTTGAGGGTACAAATAATATCTCAATGGGGTGGAGAAACACCCATTAACATCTGATATAGCAGTTTAGAGTCAGTTTCAACATTAATAGTATGAAAATTAAAAGCAAATGCCACTTTTAAAGCAAGATATACCCCCCAACATTCAGTTAATAAGAGAGTATCAGCAGCAACAGGTGAAGTAAAATAACCATAAAATGCCCCTCAAAGTTTCTAAAGACGCCACCAACATCAGCAAACAGCACATTCCGGCTGCCATTAACATTAACTTTCACCTAGCCAATAGGAGGAGGCTTCCAACTGACTAACAGAGGGGGCCTAGCTCTCTTATCTAGGGGAGCAAAATTAGCAGAGGCCCTTAGGGCCTTAGAAAAATAAGCCAGTATATAAGAAGTAATGATAGTGGTAGTAGGCGGGAGGAATCGTATTTATGGCTGTTTCTAGTAGGCCATAGAAACCAAAGGACCAACAGAGGGAAGGAAAAACGCCTTCCCTCATCATCAACAAAAGCTTTCCACTCCTACAAGTAGTTAACTAAAGTGCCCTGTGAGACCAAAGGAACCCAAATGATTCCAGACCTCCATTGAAAAAGCACATTAAAAAAAAATGTGTCTTATGCCTTCCTCTGAAATTCTGCACAGAGGACATCTTGATGCCAATCTTAAACCTTTCAGTTTCAAAATGTTATCAAGAGGGAGTAAGGAGGAGAAATAACGCCAAAGGAAGAAAGAGATAGAGGGAGAAAAGAGTTTATGCCAAACCCAATTACCCCAAAACCAATCTGGATGAGAGTGTAATGTACCATAAATCAATTTACAGACTGAATGTGAAGAAGACTCTTCCAAACTGGATAATCTCTGCGGGAAGGAGTACTAGGAATATTAGATATATGCAAAGCATTCAACTCCCCCACTAGAGAACAAAGCTTAGTGAAATCCCAACTTCCTTGTGTAAAGAGATCAAAAGCTAGCAAATTGTTTGTATGAGATGGATAAGTGTGCTCTGAAAGAGAAGGCAATCCCCAATTATCATTCCAGAAAGAGATGTTTCCCACACCAATATCCCAAAACATAAAGTCTCTAGCAGTGGATCTGGCATTCAAAATAGTCTTCCAGATCTTAGAGTCTTCCACCTTCCACAAAACCTAGGAAGGGTGGGAAGTAGCACAGTATTTTTGATGCATAAAAGAAGCCCAGAGAGAAGAGGCCTCTCTAAACTTAAACCAAAGTTTGCACATGTTAACCTCAACAGTATGCCGCAAAGCTTTGAAACCGAAACCCACAGCTTTTTTGGGTTTACAAATCTTATGCCATGAAAACCAAATCTTCTTAGTACCACTCCCAACCCACATGAATTTTTTAAAGAGCCTCTCCAAAACTTTAATGGCACTCTTCTTTGGGTTGAACACCTGTAAAGCATAGAGTGGAATACTTTGTAGCACACTAAAAAGTAGAGTAAGCCTACCCCCAGTAGAAAGAAAGACATTCCTCCAGTCATTAATCTTATGCTTATTTTTGTCAATGACATCATCCATTTGAATTTGCTTTTTCCTTCCCCTAATCAGATTTATCCCAAGATACTTTAAAGGGAGGGAGACGTGTTGATAACCAGTGAAGGAAGCCCCCCAATTAGCAATATAGTGTTTGACATGCTTGTCATAATAAAGCTGACATTTGCCACTGTTGAAAGCCAAACCAGAATAATTTTGGAAATCATTTAAGAGCATCATTAATTTTTTAATAGCAAGTTTGGATGCATTAGCTAAAATAATAACATCATCAGCATAAGCTAAGTGGGAGACCATAGTTTTAGCCTTATGAGAGGGTGAAGCAGTTGAAAACGATTAAGTAATCTAGATAAGTAGTCAAAAGCAATGATGAAAATGGTTGGGGACAGATGCCCCCCCTGCTTAATACCCCTTTTAGTTGAGAAAAAACCATAGGAATTACTATTAACAAACACACCATAAATATATATATGTATATATATATATATAGTGTATGTATGTATGTATTAAGTAGGGAATAATTATTTAAATATAATCATTCCAAATAAATTCCCAAAAATTATAAGTTAATTTAATTTTAAAAGTTAGTTTTGAATATACGGCTAAATACACGAGACATGCGCTTATGAAGTCAATAGGCGCCAATAAAAAAACTTCTGGGATCATGGGAAGGGAGCCCTCCTTTTAGAAGAAGTGGGCGAGAGTGGTATCATTGCTTTGAATACTAAGGTGGTAACCCGACCCTTAACAATGCATATGCCCGATGATATTCTTATGTAAGTATGAAGTGTTTAAAAGCAATTGAGTAATTTTCTTCTCTATTTTTATTTTCTTAATCCCGGTTTTCTTTCAAGTATTTTGGATGATGAATTGAGTCAAAGTCAAATGTCATTTTGGATAAATAGAACAAAGAGTAAGTGAGAATCAAGTATACATTTGGTGACAATGAGCATATGTTGAAAGCTAAAGCTTGAGAGATGGTGGATATGAAAGGCCATTTTATTTTATTACATCGTTCTAGGATTCCTAGGAGTTGTAGGTGGATCAAGATAAATGTTGGGGATGTTGAAGGATATCAAGCCGGAAAAATCTTAGGATCATGAGGATTAGAGAAGGAAAATGTAGTATGGATGCTGCTTGGTAGGTAAGAAATTGGAGGAACACCAATCAATATCACTTTTGTCGAGATATGAATGATGGTAAAGATCTACCGCTCAATATCTTCAAGATACAGACTCACCATTTGAAGAAGAATATATTATCTCACTTTGAATATGAGAAAATAGAAGAAATAGTCTCCAAAGAACATAGATCAAAACAAACTACTCCCAACCAGTCCACAAAAAATTATATATAATAGAACTATTAAATAAAGCAATTAATGAGAAGCCTTAAAGGTCTGGCCAACCTATATGGGTTGGAAAAAAATCGGATCAGGCTCTCTCGAATTGTAGCACCGGGAAGGAAGCCCTGGGTCTCCTGTTGAAACAGGATGTTCCACATCCATGTCATTCTCTCCGGATGGGAGGGGCTTCAACTTCATCGTTGGGAGCACCTGGTTCCTCGTAGTACTATGATAAATCAATATTAAAGATAGCAGAAATATTATATTCTCTTGCAGATCAATTTTATATTAATCTTTCTAACAACTCTGAATGGACCATCTTCTATTGGCTTGAGCTTGCTAAATGGGCATGTATCAAATCTTTTGTTTTTAGTAGGATCCACTCTAAATTGCTTTCCTTGAAGGGCATCACTTTCTTGGATTTTTTAGCCTGTTTCAGATACTTAGTATTTTGTTTGGTAATTTCTAAGCTTAAACCCTGTTTGAGATCACTTTCTATTTGCTATTTTTTTGTTTTTAAAAACAAAAAACTGTAAACAAACAAAAAAATAGTATTTCCTTATTCATTTTTTGTTTTTTTAAACACATCAGACATGTTTTCAAAACCTCAAAAATATAGAAATTATGTTTTCGCTGTTTTAAAAACATCTTTTTTGGAGCTATGCCCTAAAACCTTTAATTAGTTAATTATCATTGGTTGAAATTAACATAACCAAATTAAGTCATCAATTCACAAATAAACTCTTAAACTTGCTTAATTAACTCAGTAATAAATTAATGAAATTATAAAAATTACTTAAGTTCAAACAATTAATAAAATACTTAATTAAACTAATAATCATCTAATTAATTTGTTAATTATTTAAATGGAACCTAAATGAATTTAATTAACTCATAACTACTCATTTTAATAATAAATCTACTTAATTAACTTAATAATTAATCAATTAAACCATAATTATTCAAATAAAATATTAATCATTAATTTAATAATGATTAAATTAAAACCTTAAATTATTTAAATATATCATTAAATATATAGATAATTAAATAAAGCATTAAATAACTTAATTAAAATGTTAATTAAATAACTTCAATTATTCTCCAAAATATTAACTAACATGTTAGCAGTTAAATAATTAAATTAGTTAACATGTTAGTAGTTATTAATTAAATAATTTCAATTAATTAGTATGTTAGTAGTTATTACAATTTAATTAGTTTTTTTAAAAAGTACAAATTTTTTTAAAAAAATAGAAAATTTCCAACCAAATATGTTTTATATTTTTTGTTTTAAAAAAAATATAACGTATTTTCTAAAAATAGAAAATAGAAAACAAAAAAAAATAAAACTGACTGAAAACAAAATAAAAAATAGAAAACAGAAAGTGATCTCAAACAAGGATCTTAATCACTAGTATTCGCACTAAATCTAAAGGTGTGAGAAATTTTGCTCGTATATGATTTTAGAGGAACTTTTAGTTGTGGATTGACTAGTGGACTAGTAGGCAAAATCAACACGAGGAAGCACCAAATTCCACTGTCTATTTTTTTTTCTCACCAAATCCCCAATAATATTTCTCAAACTGCAATTCTCCACCTTTGTTTGTTCATCTGTCTTTGACTGCATTAATGAATTGAGCTGGAGCTTTATATCTAACGTGATGGTCTAGGGTAGGCCATGTAAATGATGGTATGGCACTATTTCTTAGGCTCTCTGAGGAAGGCTTCGTTTTTCATCGTGGGAGCTTTCTTGAAATAATCCTTGTTATGAATGGCCTCAACTATCTTGGCCATCAACACTCTCAAGAGTCATTTTTAGTGTTCGTTCTGGGACAGCGGTCGCTCATTGTTTCAAATCAATCGATGGTCAGGGTATTGGGTCTAGCTCTCATGGTTGTAAGGTTTTTTACTTCTACTGTGATCTCTGGGTGGTCGATTTTATTCGTAGTGCAGGCGAGCAGAAGGATGCAAATCTTTTATCGGCCTCCACCTGTTGTCTCTAGGCCCTATTCTGCTGATGATAAGTGGTTGATTCCGCTTTGGCGGAAGCAGTGTTGGAATTGTACTCCTTGTTCGAGATTTGTTTGTTGGCCAGCTCCAAAGATTCGGCTATGTTTTTCGGTCATTAAAAGCCCAAGGCATAGCAGAAGGGTTCTTCTTTTACCCCTAGATCCCACCTCTAGCATCTCCTTCTGAAATCATGTGACGAGCGAGCGTAGGATCTTGCTTTGCTGCAGAGCTTATAAACTCTTATGGGGTTTTTGGGAGCTTGTGAACTATGCCACAAATATCCTCTTAAAATTTATGAATGAAGTGATCAACCCGGGCGGTATTCCATTGAACCACCTGAGAGTCGATCACCTAGCATGAGGAAGAGCAAGCGACACTTCAACGCATCTGTGATCTTTAGCAAGCAGGTGGTTGACTCAAATGAGTCAATGTGGCTAGTCGGATCAGTCCGACTCTTGTTGGATCCCAAAGCAGGAATTCTAAATCTCTTTGGTGGTTAAGCTTTAGAAATCTGTCGAGAGAATGCATTCTTTTGCTGGTGGGGTGCTTCGATTCACCCTAACTATTGTCTATCCATTGGTGTCGACCTAGCATTTTTGAGGTACCGGGAATCTCCATCCCTTTCTTCAAGCAGAGGCAACCTTCGGTTGTTGGGCGTCGTCGCTTCCTTCGGGGGTTTTGTTTTTTTTTCTCGAGGCAACACTTCTTTGATGGTGTTCATCATTTTATCATTCAACTCCTGGATTTTTTGCTCTCTAGTACACTATGTTGGTGGTGTCTCTGTTGTGTGCTTCTTCTCTTTGTGTTACTCCTCTTCTTGTTGTTGGTATGATCCACGCTCACCGCACCTTTTAGGATGTTGAATCATGATTTGTCCGTGAATCACACCCAAAGATTAGAGCATAAGACAGGAGAGGGAGAGCGAGAGGGAGAGGGAGAGAGAGAGAAGTGCACAATAATAAACAGTAATCGTAATTGTTGATTTGTCTTTTACTTAGAAAATGATTCTCTTATATATAGAGGAGGGGATACAATATATGAAATTACGTATTTGTCTCTGCTTTAATGGGGGCGTTATAGGATATTTTGGGTATTTTATATTTATAGGCCTTTGGTTTGGTCACCAATGACTTGGTCGGCAAGGGGTAGTCGATTTTGGTTCAGCGAAACCTGCTCGTTCGCCTTCTCTAAATCGGCGTGGCCAGTCAGCCCTTGATGGTCTTCAGGTCCATGAGACTCAACTCGATCGGCTTGATTTGGTTGGTCGGCTATACTAGCTTGGTTGTCCTCAGATGATCCCTGGGTAAGGAGCTCCTATCTGCGGAGCTAAGCTATCGGGTAGAGGATAAATCACCGTAATCTGACATGCAGCTTACTCCTCGTTGAGACAATCCTTCGGGGATGTTTCGTGCAATTACGTGACTTTTAGCTTTTGGCTCCAGATGAGAAACCTTCAAGGGTATTTGTGAGATAGCTAGTGGTGTTGAATGCTTTCTTTCTTGGGTTGGATTATGACAAGAGGTAGATTGATTTCTTCGCTTAACTTGATAGACTTTTAAGGCGTCTTTCGCTCGATCGGCTTTCAAACTCGACTTAGGGGGAATTTGCCTTGGTAGACAGTTTTTTTCAGTGCTCTGATGATGAACGCTTAGTCTTTTGGTTTTGATCTTTAATCTTCTGCTGATGGACCTTTGGTTTTCCGTCTATCTGCCCTTGATCTTTTGTCTATCAGCTCTTAGTCTTCCGCCTGTGAACTTTCTTTAGTTGCACTTCTTTGTATTTTTTTCTATTGAATTTACTCGGGATTTGTGCAAACACTTTTCTAATGTTTAGTATATATTAAAGATTTACATGCATACCAGTCAATTCATATATGTTAACTATGATATATGTGTATTTTAAACGAAATGCTCAAAGGCTATTATACGAGCCTCTAGCCTCCCCTAATATGCCTAACAATTCAAGTACCGCCTCCTTAAGGCCAAATCTGTCTGAGAGAATTCAAACCCCCGACCTGAGGGATCTTATACTCTGAATGCCAACCAACATGTCGGAGTACGTGGCACGCACGCGGCGCGCACACGCACACATGTGTGTGTGTGTGTGTGTTGGCACTTGAAATTGTAAATTCAATTATACCAAGAGCTAACGCAGCATTACCCCTTCGTTTTTGCAGGTTGCAGATTATGGACTTGTTGCCGACTTGTTTGAGGTGATACCAGAGTTGATTGAAAAGATTCCAGAAAAGAAGTAACCCCAGCTTAAAAAATTGATTTGCCCAGAATTTTCATGCGATGGCCTTTATTTATTCCATCATGAATTAATCAAATTAGCAAATTACATACAAAAATAAGTCTGCTTAGTATTGTTGTATGGCCGAGCTGTAGCACCTTGATGCCATTCCATTGCTATTTTTATTTTCCATATTCAGACTAATTTTCTACAGGTCGAGCTGTAATAAATGTCGAGCTGTTTCATTATAGCTTGTTCTTTTTTAAGTATTGGGATATTTTTTTTAGAATTATTTACTTAAATTGAGAAGATATTTGGTATAATGATAATAAATTTTACTAATTGTTTAGAAAATCAAGTTATTGTGGATTTAATTATCATGTTGTTATATATATGAAAATATATACACATACACCCACGCTCGCCCAAATGCAACGCAAGCATTTCGGGTTTTTAGTTAGGGCATGTACATGCATATCGAAAAATTATTGCGTACGTTCACCACATTCAGAAATGCGTACGGTAAACCAATCAAAATACTCCCTTTATCAAAGTTTATGTCAGTGGGTCTCACTTTAAATTTTTTTTTAAAAAAAATTCTTATTGGACAGCGCACACAAATTGCATGTGTTGTACGCAGACAATAATCTCTCATGCATACCACTCAATTACTATGTATTTACATATCTGATCTAATATATATATATATTTATATTTATACCAATCAAATTATTATTATCATATTAAAAATATTATTATTTTTATTTTTATAAAATGAATTGCACCTCGTGTAAATAAGAAGGCAATTTAGATCTTCCTTTTCTAGCTCTTTCTATTTGGTATTTATAGTGAAGGTAAAGTGAAATCGTATGTTCCACCGCTTTTATGACATTGTGCATATATATAAAGATGAGAATATACAAGTAATTAATAATGTTGTGGAGCTTGAATGGGAATGATTAATTCATTTCTTGATGTATGTCAAATAAATTTTGATTGGGATGTAAATGAGCTTATTATTATTAGTTAGTTTCAATAAATTACTCGAAATTATATTGAATGAGTCTCACGACGAATCAATTAAAGAATAAACGGCTGTTTGAATAAAATGTATATAGAAGTGATTGTATTTATGAGCAATTTTTCAAGATAATATAATTTTTGTCCACACTTTTAAAAAAATTTGAGCTTTGCTTCTGGGGATATCATCTTTACAGGTTTTTTTCTTGAAGAAATGTGATTCATGGGCTATTTGGTATCAAGATTTGAGCGGGTTGCAACCTAAATCCATCAAATAGCAAAAATGGCATCTTTATAACCTACAGGTTCTTAAATCTCATTTTTCCTCGATTTTGACTTAAATACAGGATTTCTAGAACTCGATTGACAAATGGATTTACAAATTTAGAGAAATTGAATTGAGTGATCATCTATTGTTTAAGAAAGTGACATTTTGTTGGACATTGTTGGTGGACAATGCATATCACCTTCTGGCTAAAAGGAGTGGAGAATTTAATTGCAATCAACTAATTGTTAATAGAGACAAGATTTAACTCTTAGAATTATTAGACATAAAGAGGTCGAGGTCTCCATTCTAAGTTATGTGGGCAATCGATATTGGATGGTTTTTCTTGGTGTATCTTATGGAGCATGGTGAGCCATTATTAAATATTAAGGTGAATTTAATTGTAAACACACGAACACTGAACACTGCATATATAATAACTTAAGTCAAAGACCTTTTGTTGAAGGATTAAGCTCTCAATTAACGGGTTAAGATGGCTTGCATTCTCTTAAAAATTAAGGCAGCATAAGCAAGTTAATAATATTGACATTGGGCCTCATTAAATTTTTAACATCCTTGGTATGACTATATTTTTAATACTTGCATTAGGACTAGTGGTAAACATCATAAAAAAATGATAGCCTCTAAAACTTTTTTATTCACCACAAAGTTTTAATAAGGAGAATATGAGGGATTCACATCAAGCATATTATCGACATAATATTTGAATTTATTGAGGGTGTCTCACCACTGTCACTACTAGTAAGCTAGGAGCTTGATGATCTCACATGTGGTAGTGGGTACGCATGTATGTTAATAAAGGGTTAGTTAAGAGGTATCTATTCCATTAGAAAGTCAAATAAGGTATATACTACTCAAGAAAGCATAGAATAGGTCGTGTCCTGGCTCGGAGGTATGGAATTTTCAATATAAGAATAAATGGACATACTGTAAAATTAAATTTTAATTATTCATTATAAATCCAAATAAAGAAAGAGTCATTACTAATTTTAAATTAAATTAAGAAAATAATAAATTTATATTTAAGTTCGCTAACATCAACTTCTATGCATATTCTCTCATATATTACTTATTTTTATTCAAATGAAAAAACTCAAAAATCGTTAATTTGAAACATAATGATCTATTACAACCAGCAAACTCTTCTACTTATAAATTAAAATAACATAATAAAAAAAAATAGTATCTATGTTAGTTAAACTTAAAGTAAATGAATATAAGATCATTTGTCTGTTTATGTTTACTAATATGATTGTTGAAATCAATTTTTTGTTGTCAAATTTGTTGGATGCCCTTTTGAATGTTATTGGAGTGTATAACTTTAATATATAGCTTCCTAGCACATCTAAAAATTACCTACTTTTTCATATAAATTTCATGCTCATTTTTATTGATATTGCACTTTAAAGAAATGTATTTTGCATGTTTTTTATTCCAGGTACAAGAAATGGGGTTTTGGAGGAACTGGAATAAAAATTGTGCAATTTGGAGTTAAATCGAGCAATGAAGAAAATTCTGACCTGACATATTTTGATATGTCATTCTATGCTCAATCTCCTTTACATTTATCACATGTTTTTAAAGAAAGATTATTTTCATGTTTATCTTGTAGGTATAACACTTGGAGCGGTTTGGAGCTGAAATGGAGTGAAATGGAGAAGCTGTCAATATGGTGGCGCCTAGGCGCCAGTCTCGCCCAGAAAGTGGTGCCTAGGCATCAGAAACAATTAAGGGGCGATTTTGGGTGATTTCGGGCGGTTCTGAAAGATTTTGGTTGGTTTTGAAAGATTCCAGGTAACTATGCACGCCTCATGGAATTATGCAATGAATCTAGACATTTGAAAATGTGTCTTTCAGCATTTCACATCTTTTGGAATGAAGAGGTGTGTCTCTTAGAGTGAAATGTTGTGTCTCTTAAAGAGAAGAGGTGTCTCTTGAAATGAGGAGGTGTTTGGTTTCTCTTTAAAAAGAGGGAGGGGTGTTGGCGTCTCTCAAAGGGGAGAGGAAGAAGAGTTTAGGAAGAGTTTTAGAGAGTTGAGCGTGCCTCTTTTGAGAGGTGAGTGTGTGTGTGTGTGTGTGTGGAGGGTTGGAGACTTTTGGGACTTTCGAAGAAGAGTAAAGGATTGTCATTTTTTGTGCAAGGAGGGCGAGAATCTTCTGTAAAGATAAGTCTTTAACTATTTTTGTATTTGCTTTGAATTCCTTAAATATGGTTGTGTGTTTTCAATGTCCTTTGCAATGAAGAATCAATTTATTTTCTCCATGCTTAGTGAGTAGTTTTCTTTACTCTTTCTCTTTGTGATAAGAATTAATTATGACTAATATGATAATCAATGTCATTTTTTTATTTCAAAAATTGTGATGGTTTTTTCACCAGTTCTTAATTTACTTTACAAACTGATCACTTGTAATGTTAAAATCCATTGCAAAATATGATGACCCGGGAGGGCTATGATTTCACCCAACTAGTGAGTATCACACTACCCTTACGAGGAGGGGGGCCAGAATCTAAGTGGATTGCAATAGATAGGAAGATAAGATATGATGGGCGTAGAATTGGTGTTCCTAGGGTGATGGACTAGATCCTTTACCAATTTGGTCTAGAGTTGGAACCTGAAGTCCTTGGTAGGTCCTATAGAGAGAACATAGTGGGTAATCTAAAAGTGAGAGGCTAGAATCTATTCAGCACTACCATACAATAGGGAACTTATTTTAGATTAGTCAATGTTCTTTATGCGCTCAGGAGATGATAAATAATATGTATGCTCCTATTTGTCACAAGACTACATTTAATTCTTTAAATATTTGATTCCTACACTAATTATGATCTCATCGCAAGGGGAAAGAAATTTTAAATATATAAAAACTTACTAAAATTTATCTAGCCTCTGCAGATTAGAATTTTATTTAATTTTTAATTTTAAAGTAAATTAGTGAATTTAGAGAAACCAAACTTTTCAAAAATTCCAAATTAAGGCGTGATAGTAGTAAACTAGAATTAGCCAAAGGGATTTCTTACCTCACTTTTTTGTGGGATCGATACTGGGGTCGTTAAAACTCTATATTATTTGAAACGATACGTATACTTATGTAGTACCTCTAGTGTGTAAACTATTAATAAAAAATTTTATAACATATCAATTTTGCACACTAGCCTCTAAATATTAATGATCAATTTTTTGTCATCTTTTAGAAGCTAAATTACTACGTAATTGCGGGTTGGGTCACTTTCTGTGAATCAACGAGTCTGTAAAACCCTCTCATGCACCTTTTGTAGGAAGTTTGGGTTTAAGGGCACTACATCCATGCAGAGATTTGGGGCTCCCGCTATCACTAAAATCTCGAGTGTAATGCCTATAAAAATGCTTATCTTTGAAGTTATGGAACTATATTTTAGTCATATTTAGTCTCTCATAGCTTACGGATCACAAAATACCTTAGTCGGATGTTTTTCACAGAAATTAGGGCTTTCGGGGCTTTACTAGTGCCTTGGCCCCAGTCCCGGCACCTAGGCGCCCAGAACATCCCCCCATGGGGCTCAAAACTGAGAAGCCAAAAAGTAAGCACTAGTCCCGGACGCCTAAGCCAGCCCGTCGCCTAGGCGCCTGAAACAGCTCCAAGACGTCCTGAAACCAAGAGAGCAGAAAGTAGGCGCCCGGAGGTAGACGCTTATTCGCTTGGAGGGCTATGCCTAGGAACCCGGAGGTCGGCGCCAAGGCGTCTGTCCACTTTTAGATCCCGAATTTTCCTTTATATCTTAGCATAATCACAACCAGAACAGCGTTTCGTGTAGCCGAAAATGAATATTTTGAGGAATAGTCAAGAGATTTGCATATGGAAGGATAAAGGAGCCACGTGACTCTTTTGTGAGCATTTGGAGGCATTTTAGAAGAGGGTTGCATGCATTCTCAGAAAAAGGAGCGTCCTAGGTATCACCTCTTATTCTCCATTCTCCTGTGCTCCTGTTTCTTTTCCTTGAATTTATTGACCTAGAGCTCCTCTCTCCTGAGGTTTAGCTAGCTACTGGAGTTTTTGGAATTCCTTGGGTTGCTTGGTGCTGGAGAGGTTTTGGCAAGGTGAAAGAGGGAACTTCTAATTCTTTCCCATCTCCTTCCCCAAACTTCATCTCCTCCTTCCAGTAAACTTTCTTCTGCATATTCCCCTTCTTCTTACCATCACTTTCCTTGAGTGTGTGAGGAAAATTTCTTGGAGGAGTTGTATTGTAGAAGGAGTGCTTCATCTTTCCTAATGCAAAGGAGAGCTTCTTCCTAGCAAAGTCGGAGCACATACAAGCAGAGAGAAACCTTCACGATGGTGAAAACTCTTGAAACCCTTGCAATTTCATTCCTAAAGGCTTTTTGGAGGAATTAGGCTAGGTTTTTATGATAGAGAAAGCCCCATAGATTAGGATCCTTTGCGATCCCCCTATAAATCCAAGAGCAAAACCTACCTAATTCTACCTCCTGAACCCCAAATTCAGGATTCCAACAAATTTTATATTTGCACCGATGATTTTGCTCTTCTGATGGGAGAGCAAATTTTGTTTGAGGTCTAGAGGATGAAAGAATTCTTATGATTTTTTTGTTCTTTAACCGCGATGATCTCCCAAAGTGGAAATTCTTTATGATATGTTGGGTAAATGGAGACTATCAATCGACATTTAGCGTGGCGATCGGCTGGCGAATTTCATTCCTATCCTATCATAGATCTCGTGAGGTCATTAGGGCGACTCCAAATCGTTGTCAAATTTAATTGGATTTCATTGTTTGCATGTGTTCGTATCCATATTGAGTGCATATAAGGGTGTAGGAGAACCGAACACGAACGAACAAAGCTCGTGTTTGTGTTCGACTAGTTTGAAATTAAGTGTGTTTGAATTAAGCTCGTGTTCGAAATTGTTAGTAAAGTTACTATTAGTGTTCGGTTTGATTTGTTTGAAATTAATTCAAAATGTTTGAAATGTTCAAATTATTTGAATTGTTCGAAATCTTACAAATTTGTTTATATTGTTCAAAGCATTTGAATTATTTGATTTGTTTGAAATCTTTCAAAAGCTTAATCATGTATGAAATTAATACTTAAACCTGTATGTATCACAACATGAATGCACAATAGCCAAAGCGCATCACTCCCAAAAACTTCAAAAACTAGGTTTCACTAAAAAAAATTAAATAAATCTAAATGAAATATAAGAAAATTTAAGCTAATAGATGAATTTGAAGATAAATATAAAATATTAAAGAAAATATACTCAAAGATGACACCTCGGTAGCCTTACAAGCAACCAAACAAGAATACCGAGCAATTGATCCAACGTCGAGTCGCTGACTCGTCGATGACAACGAAAATTTTTCGAAGACAAACATAAGTAAAGATTAGAGAACAAACACAAACAACAAACCTCAAGCCCCGAGGCTGAAAGCTTTTCACGATTTTGAGAGGAAAATGAGAAGAATCAGAAGAAGAGGAACCTAAAACTTTCGAGAAGGGAAGGGGAGGCCGGTTGGAGTAAAGTGGCTTAGGGTTTTATATATATATATATATATATATAAGACATCTTGACAAATAGTCTTGCCTTCGCTTTTGAAATTAATATTTCATGTTTTCTATATTTTGAGTTTTATTTTTGTAATTTGGCTTTTCGTCCCAATGTATATAATTATTTTTAAAATATGATAAAATTTTTTTATATAATTATTTAAATTATTTATATTTCAAATAATGATGCCTCAAACAAGATCTAATAATTTTTTTTTTTTGTTAGCCTCATTTACTTAGGAAAAGAATCAAATACAAACTTTCAGATAAATGAAACACAAAGTTCAGCCCTAACAAAGTACTACCAATAATAATAACTGGCGTTGTAATATTTTCTCCACTTACATCACGCCTAACCCACGTATACCCTTTCCCTCTCTGTATTTCGTCTCGAACCATCTCCTTCGTGACCGAACCCTCTTCTCTCGATACAGTAGCAATTGCAGTGACCCGAAACTCCCATTTTTCTCCTCCTTCTGCTCCCCTCCTACCCGAAACCATCGAGGAACGTAACTTCACGTCCTTTTTTTTGCGCGAAGCGTTCGTCCCGGATTTGCTAAATCCGCCGATTCACGGGATCTAGTAAATCCGGGAAGATTTAGGTTAAATCCAGTTTAAATCCTGCTCTAAATCCGTTACCAGACAGGCCCTCAGAGGTCGGTGAATTCAGGGCCCGGCTGCCAAACAGTCTAACGCTAGATTCCTCCTCCATCGTCGCTCCCGATGTCCTCTTCAGTGTTGAGCAGCATATCATTCACTGTTTCCGATGACGAATCGGACGAGCCAAGTGGGAAGATGAAGTTCCAAGGCCGCCGAAAGCGAAAGAAGCCGTTCCTCCGCTCGAACAGGGGCTGCTTCAACCGAGTCTTAAGGTTGCTGGCGAGTTGGTGGCCGCTGCTGATTTTCGTTCCGGCGATAATATTGCTCGCATTTGAGGCCTCGAAGCTCGGGCGAAAGCAAAACGAGATGGTCATGGTGGACAAATGGCAATTGGAGGGTCCGCAGGCTCAAAGAACGAACTTGAATCGTCTCGATCCCACTACCAGAGTCGTCAATGGTGTGAGAGAGGGTGAGATGTTTCAAATATAATGTTTATGTAATTTTTTTAGTGTTGTGGCATTACCATCCGACCGCTGATTTTGCAAACTTATAGAACTGAGCATTTTGATGAGATAAACTCAAATAACACCTAAAATTAATCATAAGTTCAATTTAGCTCCATTCAAACAGTTGATGCATGGTTAAAAAACTTGGAACATTAATTTCAAAGTATCTTGAATTATACATGCTTATAATCAAATCTAGCTTCTCAAAAAAATAATTTCAATGAGCCTAAGATCACCGAATACTGAGATCAGTAAAGCATGTATTGTTGAAAGAACAACATATGATTTAAAGGAATCAATAGGAGCTATTCGATTGGGTTTATTGAATTTTGGCTAAAATTTTTAAAACATTTCTTTTCAAAAATAATAAATAGAACTCAATTCTCCTGATGAAGGGGGCGTAAGCTTGTATATGGAATCATGCCCATGGACTGAATGTTTTTTTTTAGCTAATTATTAAGCTCCTAAAAATAGACTCCTAAATGGTTGGCTTGGTCCTTGAGGAGGACTGAGTAAAATCTACAATAAGTATAGAGCACTTCTCTTGGATAATGAATGAGTAAATTTGCTGGTTTATTTGTAAATTTACTTTTTTTTAATACGAAAACAGAATGTTTTGGTGACTGTTGAGGTTTGTTTGGATGGAAAATGTGATTAGGATGGGTGATTAGGTAATAAATTGTCAATGCTGTTTTCTTCCTGAGTAGATACTCAAAAAGTCATGTCATTTACATCAGAAATGTTCATACTGTGAAGAAGTACTCGTGCCATGGCTCTTCTTGTTTCTTATACTTGTTCATCTGGTCTTCATCTATATTTCATCTTGTCTTCAGCTATATTTATTTCATTTAGAAATGCTTTGTAATCCTCGAAGCTTTTATTTTATGACTAGATGTTTATGGTTACATTCTATCTTGGTATTCTAAATTATTTTATTTCCTGTTTTATATGGCCTCTTAAATAATCTTGAATCTTCTCCTGATCAAATACTTATTCTTTTATTTTTTTAAATTGCATTTTACTCTGACTTCTAACATAATTTTACTTAATCCTTTTTACTTATATATCTAACTATATTAATTTAACCAGTATGCCTAAAGTTGCTTAAACCAGAAGAACTGAAGAAGCTTGAATTCCCTGAGAATACTGTGCACAGTTCTCCGGTCAAGAGTGTGATATACAAAACAGATTATGGCCAGTATCTCGTTGAAGACAACACCACAATGTTAAGGCATCAAAATGGAACTGCTAGATTTAACTTATTCACGGGATATCAAACACTTGAAGAAAGGGAAGAAAGCTTCCATGTAATATCCCGTACTCAATTTCCTTGGTTGTTTCTTTTGAATTTTGATTATTAATAGTTTCCTCTAGCATGTTTTTCACTTTATTGGTGCCACTAGTTTAACCATGAATCGGTTTCTCAGCCGATTTGATCAGTTTTAAAATGGCTTTCGCAAAAAAATCATTAGAACCGATCATAATTTGCGGTTGACCAGAGAACTAGTGGACATGTCTGATTTTTTATGAATTGATTACTTCTAATCTTGGCCAATATATGGTCCTTTGATTTTGATCGGATGACCAAAAGTGAAAGACTCGAATTAATAATAGAGAAAATAATTGAAATATGTTGTCCCAAAGTTTTGATTTTGAATAATATTCAAAATATTAAAGTGTGATATATCTTTTAAATCATAATGAAATAATTTTAATATTATGTCATTCAATTTCACCTTGGTTGAACTTCTGATCTTCGAATCTTTTTTTATATTGGCATAATTTTCTTTCTAGTTTTCAAAATTTGTGCCTTCACAAGATGGAGAATTTATTTGAAACCATATGTTGTGCTATTTTTTGTTTTCATTCAAGGCATGATTTTCATAGATTTTACCTTTTCTCGTGAATATAAGTTTATACCTTTTTTTTAAAAAATATGCATTTGCATTAACTATATTAAAAAGGTACAAAAATATGTAGGTATGTACCTATGATGTACAAAAGTGAGATCTATCATCTACAAGTTTATACCTTTTTTTTCAGGTGAAGGAAAATGCTGAGGTTCATTGTGGGTTCTACAGTGACATTGGAGGCTTCAAAATTTCTAATGAAGACAAACTATACATGAAAGATTGCAAAGCAGTGGTATCTACTTGTGCTTTTGGTGGGGGTGATGATCTTTATCAACCGATTGGGTTGAGTGAGGCCTCTTTAAATAAGGTTATGTGGCACCTTCATCATTTCACTTGCATCAACTTTTTTGCTTTTTCCTTCAAATTTCATTGTTAAATTTTGTTACAGGTTTGCTTTGTGGCATTTTGGGATGAACTCACTCGTGCCACACAGGCGGCCGAAGGAAATAAAATTGGTGATGATGGTATGATTGGTAAATGGCGGATTGTTGTTGTTACGGATCTACCTTTCTCAGATCAACGTTTGAATGGAAAAATTCCTAAGGTTGTATGAAATCATCATTTATATTCCGAAATTTGATTGCATCACTGTATTCCTATTATACTATGTTTTATTTGCACATGTAAAACTTAGCTTGTATATAAGTTCTCTAATTATGATATTATGAGGTAGGTTTTGGTTTCTTTGTTCTATTGTTCAGTGTATATGGATATAGACTAGGTTAGTCAAAGCTTGGTCATAAAAATAGTGAGGCCTTTGGGATATCGTGTACTAATAGAATATCAACAATGTTGTATTATTTTATTGGAGTACCTTTCTCTTCATAGATTTTTTTCAATCTTGACAAATGCCTAATGGATATATTGGAGAAATGCTTTTCAAACCTTATCTGCTGAACACGTTTTTAAGATCATCTTTAAGTTGTATGCCATTAGCTGACCCTTTTCTGGTACATTATGTTCGTCACGTAACTTCCATTGTGAAGCGGTGTTGATTTTGAGTGGTGTCAAAAACATTGCTCAATTAACCTTGTTGGTGTATCATCTGTTGTTTTTATATTTAAAATTTTAGGGGCATTTACATACCACACAATTCTTATATATTTACATATTTAAATCTCAAATCTTTAACATCACTTCAAAAATACCACTTAATAATTTTCTAAAAGTGGAATGCAAATTTTCATGCATAGGTTTATAACACCTAAGGGTTGTAAATGTAAATTTCTAACTTTAGCTGTTAGACATGTAAATACATAAGAAATGTGTGGTATGTATGTAAATTTAAAATGAACTGTTTATTTTGGACTTTAATGATTCAGATGCTCGGCCACAGATTATTTCCTCAAGCAAGATATTCAATTTGGGTGGATTCAAAGTCACAGCTCCGAAGAGATCCGTTAGGTGTTCTGGAGGCATTACTCTGGCGTACAAATTCTGTATTCGCCATTTCAGAGCATGGTGCCCGTAGCAATCTGTATGATGAGGCCAAGGCCATTGTTAAGAAGCACAAAGCAACCCCTGAAGAAGTCAATGTGCAGATCAGGCAGTACCGTTATGACGGCATGATAGCAGACTTCATGGGAAAAAAGGTAAGGCATTTGTTTTATCTTATTTATAAAATGTGGCATTTACATACAGACTATACAATTCTTATGTAGTTACATATATGTCATTCAAACTTTAAAATTTACAGGCATTGCACTCAAAACTTTAATATCACATAAAAAATACCTCTATCACCTATTTTTAAAAGGTTAAATGCACATTTTCATGCATAAATTTACCACTTCAAGTGTTGTAGTTGTATATTAAAGTTTAGGTGTTAGATATATAAATATAAAAGAATTGTGTGGCATGTATGCAAATTTCTCTTAAAAAATTAGTGTAAGCTTATGTGTAACAGAAAGGGTAACATTCCAGAACAATACCTTGATGTTCTTAAACCTTTATGAGAATGACTGCAACTTTGTGAATACATTTTTTTGTCAATATTCATAAAATATATTCAAATTTGAGAAAAGGAAAAAACTTCAGTTTGTGATATTCATATCATCAATAATGGTCACTCTCTCCCCCTGCAGAACTTTTATGTTTTAAAAATTAAAGATGAATTTCTTAAAACTAAATTGATGGATTGGCGTTATTTTTGCTATTCCAGCTTTGGCAGAAGCATCAATCATCGTGAGGGAGCACACGCCGCTTACGAATCTTTTCTCATGCCTTTGGTTCAATGAAGTTGTTCGATTTACATCTAGAGATCAGCTCAGCTTCCCTTTTGTTCTCAGGCGACTTTATATCCCTAAGATGAACATGTTTCCGGTATGTACTAGAAAGGATCTTGTCAATAGTATGGGTCATAAACACAAGGTTAAACCCCTTGAAAGGCGTATGTAGTCGAATGAGAGATTTTTTACACTCCTGTACATGCATACTTATTCATTTCCAGGATTGCAATTCGATTTTTAGATTTTTTATAATTTTGATAATGACAAGATGAAATTTAACCTGTATGGACTTTGCTTTTTGAATATAACTTTTATGTTTGAATATGGATAGGAGAATGGTTAAACTGTGATAGGAGAATGCCTTCATAATTATATAAAATCAAATTTGTATACCGTGAGAGGTCTCTAATATGAATTTGAATGGATAAGTGTTGGAATTTTAGGAATTTCTATTTTTAGGAACTTTTGTTTTTAGAATTTTTCTATTTTTAGTATTTCCTTTTTTAGAATTTCTACTGTGGGTAATTTTTTAATTTTGGTTACCTTTTTTTTTCCTAGCATGGGGATATTGTGGTGATTTTATGGCTTTCCTAATTTGGTGGCCTTCCCTTGCTATTTATCTTGTAAACGTTTCTTATAAGTTTGAAGAGGAATAATTTTTTTTCCTTCCCAAAAACTACATATTATTAGAGCTAGGTTTCCTACAATAGATGCGGCGATGCTAATATTGGAAGCATCGACTTTCTCCCACACTCAACTAAAGCTTTGGCTTTCTCCTACTCACGACCAAAATTTCTTTGGAACACCCTCCAAGGAACACATGATCATGAGGATGCTTGCAAATCGGTAGCTTACCAAAGACGCCCATTATGATCCTTCGCTTATGACGCGGTAGCCTCTCGAAGATGCTTTGATTCAAAGGTGCGCGGTCGAAGTAGGAGCTCCTCGAGGGTGCTTCTTTCTTTCTCACTGCAACCAAACGCACAATTGATCTTCCATTGCAATCAAACCCATGATCAAAGCGTTGATCGTGCTTTTTTCCTCGAGTTAGATGGTGCTTTTGTGTTTTTTCACTCTAATTTTGATGTTGTATAAGTCTGCAATGATGACCAATGTCCCAAGAAGTTATACCTCCTCAATCGGTTACTATAATGCCAAGACCACTTAGCCTCACCCTACATACCCCATCATGCATATATCTACTAATTATTATTCCCATGATTAAACCTCTTATCTCACAGTTATAAAACTCAATAAGCACTACTATTTCGAGCGGGCACAATCCATAAAACTAACAATCGATGGGAGAGGCAAAATTGGGAATTTAATTAGTGAAATTTTGAAACCTGCTATTGGTGACTCTAATTTGAAAAATATGGTAGTTCAAACACTCTAGTTATGGCTTGACTCACTAACTCTATGGAATTTGCCATCTGAATGCCTCACCTATTTTATCCCACTGCTCGAGATATCTAGGAGGATATTTGAGATCTTTATTCAGGCCTAGAGACTTCTTCCCAAATATTTGAGTTGCAAACTCTACTATGGAAATCCAAGCAGAATGATCGTGATGTCACTACCTATTACAATGAGTTGATAACATTATAAAGGGAGTTTGATTAGTTTTATGATAATATTTGGGAGGATTTGAACGATTGCGCTCGTCATAAGAAGCGAGGAAATTGACTGAGTTTACATATTTTTAGTTGGTCTTAAGCGGAGTTCAGATGAAGTCTGTGCTTGCATTCTTTGTTGGAAACCGCTGCTCTCTATTCGAGAAGTTATTTTTAGATTAAACTTGAAGAGCCAAGAAGAAAAGTCATGTTGTGCAATATAGAATCTTCTTTTAGCACTAACTAGGAGAACTCGACTCTTGTGTCCATAAGTGTTGATACTGATAAAAAAGGGAGTAAGAAATCATGACGCGAGCATTGCAAAACATCATAACACACAAATGAGACATTTTGGAAGCTTCTTAGTGAACATGCATATGGGAAATCAAAATCCAAACGAGAAGGTTGGGTCTATTAAGCCACTGTCGAAGAAACTAAGGAGCCTTCTACAAATTTGGATGTAGTCTATTTTTCCAAGGAATAATTAGAGCACCTGGAAATGTTGCTTCAATCATCAAAATTGTTTCTGACTCCGTCTTACTCTTTAGCTCAAAGGGGTAATGTTCTAGTCACCGTGTTGTTAGGTGTTATCTCTAATTTTATTCATTTTTGGATAACTAATTCTGGTATAACCATCATATGATTGTTTGCTCTACATTTTGCTCTTCCTATAGATCCTGTGCATGCAATAAAAAAAAATCAAAATTATTGATGGTTTCTTCTCAATAATTGTCAAAATAGGAATTGTTAACCTTTCACGATCTGCTTCATGTTTTCAATTTGTCTTGTAAATTATTATCCATTAGTAAAATTATCTCTGACCATTAGTATAACTCTAATTTCTATCTTTTATATTGTGAGTTTCAAAAATTGATCACTTGGAAGACAATTGAGAATACTAAGAAAAAAAAATGGAATATTATTTTGAAGTTGAACTCAAATAGATAATTATAAGTTATTTGTTCTAATTCTATTTTTATTTCCAAGTGCAGTGATATTATAGTATTATGCTATAGGTTAGATCATCCTGTTTTTCAGAATTTAAAATAGTTGCTTCCCGGTTTGTTTCAGAATAAAAATTTGTTATTTTTTTAATGTGAAATTTGTCAGCTTGCTAAAGATCATCGTGCATCCTTTCCTTTTTAAACCAACAAACCAACTACACCGTTTATTCTGATTCATAGTGATATTTAAAGTCATCGTAAAACTCTTACATATTCTGAAAAAAAGTAATTTTTGACATTTACAAATGATTACACAATAGTAAGTTTGGTTAATTTAATGAAAAAAATATGAAGTGAAAATAGTTTGTTAAAAAAATAACACCATAGCACAAGCACAACTTTAAAAAATTATTCAAATATTACGAAGTGATATGATGAATATTTCAAAAGTTTTTTGGGTTAAATTTTTTCAAAAAAGAAATTTTTCATTAAAGTTCTAGTGTCGACACTCCACAAAAAAATGGTGTAACTAAAAGAAAGAATAAATATTTATTAGAAGTAACTTGTGCTTTGTTGTTTATTAATCATGTGCCAAAAATATCTTTGGGGTGAAGTCGTTCATGCTATTTCATTCCTCATAAATAGTTTACCCAACATGGTTTTAAACCTTGAAATACCGTTTGATTTTTTTCATAAAATACAATCCACAAATAGGATCGTTTCTTTTATAACTTTAAAGATATTTGAGTCCACCAAATTTTTTCACATTAATAGTCATAATTTGAGAAAATTTGAACCCTGGGCCAAAAAATGTTTGTTTATTGGTTATGCTCTCACTCCAAAGGGGGATAAATATTTTAATCCTATTTCTAAAAAAAAATATTTATTATCATGGACATCATATTTTTTTAACTGTAAATTTTATTTATCATCTTCAAGGGGGGGCAAAACAAGGATTTAACTATTGTTTCTTAGGTTATTTTTCAATATGAATATTTACAAAATAATATCTTCCTAATTGTGATTGTTCAGCCTGAAAATTTAGTCTATATTATATTAGGGGAAAGTGGGTCGGGTTTTTTTTTATATTGAAGATGATTTTGTTCTTCTTACAGTGTCATCTTATGATATTCATGATTCTATAACAACTAGCAAAGAAGAAAAAAAAATTATGTCATTGGTATTTTTTTATATTGTCTACTCGTGCCAGAAGATAGCTCGAAAGAAAGTGTCTACGAATCTTTTGTATTGCATAAAATCTGCGAACCAATGTCCTCACTGTGCCTTTACCCCAATGTTCAATCCACTTTATCTTTGAGTTCTTAGTGTTATAATCCTGAACCTGAGGCTAGTTTTAATGCTAAATATAATGATTCTAGTCTTCCTATTCTTTCTTATAAGGGAGTGTGGTCTTGCACACAATATTCGTTGTCCCATTATATGTCATATAAATATCTCACTCATTTTTTGTGCTTTTTCCTTACAATATTCTAGTGTGGGGACTTCTAATAATGTGTTTGATGCTCTGAAAGTGATCAAGTAGAAGGAGACTATCTTCGAAAAGATGAAAACTCTAAAAAAAAATGGCATGTGAGAACTGATTGATATACCAAGAGAGAAGAGTGATTCCCAAAAGATGTGTGTTTACAATCAATTATAATAATGATAGCTCTCTAAAATGGTACAAGCCTTGACTGATTGCCAAAAGATTCACTCGGAGTTATGTTATTGATTACTTTGAGGCATTCGTCTCATTTGCAAAATAAAACTTTATAAGTGTTATTTTGTCACTTGCAACTAATCTTGATTGATCTCTATAACTGTTAAATATAAAAAATGCATTCTTTAATGGGGACTTGGAGGAAAAAATATTTATAGATGAACCTCTAGGATTTAGTGAGAAGTTCAGCATAAATGTGTGTAAATAGAAAAGTGCTTATAAAAGTTGAAGCAATCATCGATGTCGTTGTTTGAGAAATTTACTTTGTTCCATAAAGGTCAACGATATACTCAAGGGCAAGGAGAATGTTCTTTAGACATTCAAAGGATGAAAAGATATCCATATTGATCATGTATGTGGACGTTATAATTCTTAGTGGATGACATCTATGAGATGAACAATTTGAAGATTTCCCTTTCATTAGTTTTTGAGACCAAGGGCTTACGATCTCTGAGATATTTTCTTAGCATGGGGGTTGCTCAATTGAAGAAAGGGATTATTGTTTTCGAATGAAATTATGCTCGATCTTCTCAACGAAATTATATGAGTGGGTGTAGGCCTGCAGACACTCCAATTGATCCCAATCAGAAACTGAGAGATGGGAAGGAAGTGATCTAGTCACCATCAAATGTTGGTGAGAATGTTGATACACTTATCACATACATGACCAGATATTGCCTTTGTTATGAGTTAGGTAAGTCAATTTGTGCATTTGCGCTATAATAATTGTCGTGAAGTAGTTAATAGGATTCTCAAAACTTAAAAAGTATATCAGATAAAGATTCGCTTTTTCAGAAGACATACAACAAAATATAGAGGCATACATCGATGCAGATTTGACGGGCTAAGTTATTGAGTGGAGATTGACATCTAGATATTGTGCTTATGCCTGAGAAAATCTAGTTTCATGGTGAAGCAAGAATCAGAATGTTGTTGGGGGAGGGGGGGTAATTTTTTTTTTATGTTTTTTTTTTCTAGCACTGGATTTTGTGGCTTCCCTAATTTAA